TTTCAAGGTAGCAGCAAATACTGTTCCTCAGCAGTTCTTCTAGGGTTTATCTGTTATCATCTGTAATTTACCAACAAAGAGAATATCTGTCAAATAACAGTAAAATGTAAAAAAAAAAATGCTTATAGTTTACAGTGTGCAAAGAGAGTTGTTGTAATAAACAATAAAGCCTGAGTACAGTTTGCCCTTTGTCCACATACAGCTTCCTGACACATTTGGAGCATCTGGGAAAAGTTGTGTCAGCGTGGAGTCTCATAATTTTTCACCTGCAGTAAGGTGGGGAGGTCAGTCAAGCTGCTGCTGAGGTTTCAAATCAGCAGAATGGAGGCACGAAATAAGACAACTGTGTGGACGTACACACCAACACACACACACACACACACACACACATCTGGCTATTCTCCATTTGTCAGAAAGCCCAAACATCCAGCCGTGCGTGAAAACAGCCCTGCCCTGCCCAACACTCGTCCTCAGAGAGTACAGTCATTATGGAGCTGAACGGCATGGCCTGTGCCCCATGACACGCTCATAGACACACACTGCCTCGCACAAATGTCCACTGGCTGGAACACACTGTTTATGTCAGTGTTGTTCTCTGTTTGGCTGCACCAAGTCCGTTGTTCACTTCACTTTGACACACACAAAGTCTAGCAGCTCCCAGTCTCTTTCTCACATCCAGAGACAGAGGGGGAAACTCTGCAGCGCTGATTTCTGTTGTGCATGCAGGACAATAGCGGGACTCTGCCTGCACTGCTGGGTCAAGTCATGTCTTGTCAGACGCTGTATCCTCTTTCCATTGAGCCTGACGGTTATGAGTACCACAGGGGCCTGCACCGGGCCCCATGTTAAACACATTCACCCTGCAGTTAGACCTGCCTGACGTAAAGAGAACAGGCTCGTCTTTCACATCAAACAGCCCAACAGCCTCACCCCACGCCTACGATTCAAACAGAGTTCACAGCGTTTAGCTAAAAAGCTACAGCTGACTGTCACGAGTAAGGAGGGCAACTCGAGATTTCAGTTCAAAATTAAAGTTTGTTTTTTTTTTTCCTTACTTCCTGCAGCCAGTGTAAATCTGTACATTTGGCCAGCTACACAACTGTCTTTGTGTGACAAGCACTTGAGAGATTAGCAGGTAAAACAACACATCATTTAAAAAAATCACCTGGGAGGGTAGAAGCCACCGTGCACACAGGACACATGACGTGCAGTTAAACTGACCACACAGAAATGTTTTAATGCTACAAAAAATAAGAAAAACTGTGAAAATCTGGCAGAAAAAATGTGTTAAAAAAAACAATGGAATGCTCTAACATTCTAAAACTGTAAAAACTGTGAAAATAACAGAAAATACCCTTTAAAAAAATCTTTGAAGCAGATTTAAATACGGTAAAATGTGGTTATGTTGAAGTCAAACATTGTAAAAGAACAAAGTACCATCTGTAAAAATACTTATTTTTCTGTGATTTTACTGGGTATTATCTGTAACTTAATTAAACAGGAAAATCCGTAAAATAGCTGCTAAAAGAAAAAAAAAATTCAATCAATTTACACAATTTTTCTTTCAAACGATGGAAAATATCTGTAAAATATCTTAAAGTTGGTATTGCTAATTTAAATACAGTAAAAAAATGTAAAAATAGCAGTGGTATTTATAGTTTTGTAATTTTTTTCACTATTAACATTTAAATAATTACTTATTTTCTGTGACTTTATTTGATATTATTTGTCATTTAGCAAAACACAAAATCCATAAAAGAACTGCTTAAAAAATATTCTTCAATCTTTAATGTACATATTTTTTCTTTGAAATAACGGCAAATATCTAGCAATGATAGTTTTTGTGAATGTAAATACTATACAAATATATACATATATATATAAATATGATAATTCTGTGATTAAACACAAATGAATGAACTACCATTTGTAAAAAAAAAAAAAAAAAATGATTTTTGATGTCATTTACAGCTTCGGTCTGTTTTGTTTGATGGTTTTAACCAATAACATGCAATTAAGACTATTTTTTGTGTGATTTTACTTGTTATTATCTACAGTCATACAAAGGAAGGAAAATCTGTAAAATAACCGTAAATCAAATACAGTTAAAATCTGAAAATCTGTTTTTTTTTACGCTGTACCAAATAATAACCCTTATAAACATACACTGCTTCAAAAATTAAGGTAAACTTCAATCCAACTAAACTTCTCGGATATCGATCTGTCTAGTCAGGAAGCACAAGTGACAGTGAATCTCCCTCTCAGTGGGTTAATAACTTTGGTTTCCACTGTCCATTCTTAAATTCTTTCTAATCACAACGTCCACCCACTCAGAAGATCCTGGACGTCCTGTCTTGAAGTCATATAATCTAATTATGACCTGAAAACATTAGAAACCAGTCAACTCAGCTCAAGACCAACTATGCTCTATGTTCGTACACTCTTTCGTTTTCTATGATGACGGTCACAGACAGTGCAGATGAATTAGCGATGAATTACCCACTGTGACAAATTTCCCACCACCACCCTCCTCAATGTGTGACAGGCCCTTCACATGCCCACACCTTCCCCCTCCCATCCCATACATGTACATAGGCTTAAAGTCGTCTGGGCGGGCTGATCCCGCCGGCTCACTGTCGGCACGGCAACGAGCGCTATCCTGGCTAACATCTGCTGCACGACCCGGGGCCACTCAGAATGGGCCTTAATCCCCACACAGCCGTGTTGTGGGGGAAAACATTCTTTCCTTTTAGAGAGTGCAGACAAACAGGGACAAGCGGTGTTGCTGGTAACCTGCAGGCAACCGGCCTCTTGGAAGGACCTGGAATGTTGTCGGTTACGTGGCCCCCAATTGTGCCACAGCCCATTATGGCTGTGCAGAGGGGTGTGACCGCCAGCATCGGCAGCGAGTTGCCATCGCCCGGTCCAGTTGGATGGATTTGGGTTTTGAAGTTAATGAAAGGTGGTACGAGTGGGCTAGCTGGGGTGGGTATGGGGGAGCTCGTCAGCCAGCCTTGTTATGCTAAAACAACAGTTGCATTGACAAAAACATGAACCAGATTCCGCCCTCTCCTATGTGAGTTTGCTGCCACGTCGACTGGCTGCGGATCCAGGACACTGTTGCTGTCGCATTTTTGGTCATCCTTCAGTGAGTTTTGAGTGTGTTGGTCGCTGTTAACAGCAGAGGGGACGGGGCGAGTTTTCAGTCAGGACACAATATCAACATGTGGCAGTTTGGTGCCCCCTTGTGGCTACAGTCGAGAGAAGAGGAGCTGCAGGGGCACACAAAAACAACTAAACGCACCCAAATACTCACACCAAGAATCATTAAAGTCACAACACGACAAGTGAACAACTGCTCTCCTCTTCTGAAACAAGCCGAGCCACGAGCCTTCATATTACCGCTCCTGATAAAGATCTCGTTTGGTGGTGACGCACAGAGGAAATGAAGTCGCAGCCCCCATCAATCAGTCCATCAACTGCTATGAAATATGTATTTGTCTTAATATGGAGTTTGATTCCATCAAGCCCATTTCACGGACCATTTCCCTATGCAAACACCTCTGGGAGAAACAGGGAGAGCGAGTGGCGGAGTGCCGTTGAGGCTCGCTCAGAGGAGGAAACACACCTCCGAGGATGGCTCAGTGTGTGTGTGTGTACATTATGAGATTTAATTGAATAGTTCTGCATCAGTGCCAAGAAGTAAGTTAGTGTGTTTGCAGAGTTCTGAGGTCTTTCTGATTGAGGGCTCGGTTGTTTTTTTTTTTACTCCGCAGCAAGCCAACACTTGGCTGGAAGCACAGTCCTCTGGCTTCAATCACAGACAGACAGAAACTCGAGGAAGTAGTAGGTACATCAATACAGAATGAAAACATTCGTACGCCTCCAGGCCGTGTCCTGAAAGTGCCAAAGCTACACAATAATAAGAGCTCAAATGGATCTGCAGGCTATTTCTAGAAGCAAGCGTGATGTTTCAGCTCAGTGAAGGTTTATTTTGGAGAGGTGTTCTGCTTTGTTCTGCTTAGCGTTAAACAATAATGAGAGTAAAATATCTTCTAGCATAAACAGTATGCTCAATGATGAGATTAAACTTTTTACAGGGACTAAATAATAACGTTTTTTTTTTTGCAGTGAACCACTTCTCTACTTTTGCCTCCATGTCAATCATCATAGAAATGGTCTTTAAAGGGGATAACGAGTGCCTTTCCTTATGATTTTCAATCAACCATTTATACTTATTTCTCTGTGTTTTATATATTGTCTCTTTAGTCTTTTTTATTTCTCTTTTTTCTTCTTGTTATATAAATACAGCTGGGTTTGCTATTATTCCTACCAGAGTCTTGGATTAATACGTATGTATTATTGGAATGAGATTTAATTTTACCGTTGCCGTATGTGAGGAAAACACAGTTTAACAGTGCAAGGTAATAACTCCTACCTCCTGAATGTAATATGTGATTAACAGTTTTGTTAAAAGCAAAAAGGTTCCCTGGATTCACAAAGTTAGCAAAGCTGTCCAGTCACAACTGCAGCTCTTAAAAGGTAAGACCGCAGCTGCAGCAACAAGTGTCTCTGGAGTGTCTTCAGTACAAATCCATCAACACCTCTTTCCAAGTGCTGCTGTGTAAAGTGTCATCCAGGAAAGACTGGTGAACTGCAGCCACACACTGACACCTAGTGGAGTGTTGTAGTTACTGCAAATGACAGCGAATGACAGGATGTAGGTTCATGTAGGTTCATTTTAAACAACTACTGTCTGCATTACAGTGCAGATTAAATAAAAAAGGAACAACAGTCATCTGCGGCATCTGATCTAAAGCTCCATCGACTATGAGACAGGGCCGTGACAGTGCTGAGACACAGATACGCCACAAAGTAAACAAGGCGATGGCACCGGGATACAGAAGTTGATTATGATGGGAGATAGCAGTGACGGTGATGTAATTATCCGCTGCGTTCGCGTTGTGTTGTTTACGTGTGAATGCAACCTGCAATCTCACCGTGTCTGCTGGCACACTGCGAGGGCTATTTGGTCTAGCGACGGCAGATAAGGAGGCGATATCGAGGCCGGTGGGTGTGCTGGCTATCTGCCTCCCAGCTGCCGACGTAACAGGGTCACTCAGGTGCACTCTGCAGGGACAAGTGGAGGGGCAGAATAAGAGGAGATAAAGTAGGAGAGGACAGAAAGGGCGGAGATGAGGGAGGTGAAAGGATGAGGGAACAAAAAGAGGAAGAGGTGGAGTGGACAAAGGACATGCTGTCATGCACTTATCAAGATTTTCACAGCTCAGACCATGAGACTGTATGCACTCTGTATGTGTGTGCATAAAAAAAAAGAGGCTTCACCAAGCATTGAGCATGTTCACCCTCCCAAGTGTGTCTATGTGCAGCTTGGGATTTGTCTATGTGTGAACTTTGCCTACTGTATTCGCATCTGTGGGGCTCCAGGTTGGGCCTGGTGGGCGGGACAAAACACCCACAATGCCGATTGTTTTCACAGCACACACAGAGGATCAGGCCAGCGTGCAAACTGGCACCAGATATTATCGTGTGCGCCGCTGCTGTTTTTGGTTTTCATTCTGATTTCCTTTTTTTACAAAGACAAAGTATGCCTAATCCCCTCATGTCAACCTGACTGTGGAGACTGCAGCAGAAGAGAAAATAAACACCGGAGTCTGACTTGTCAAAAAAACAGTGACAGCAGCAGCAGACTCGTCCAAATATGTGCAGAGAGAACTGTTATGTGGTTTTTATAAAAACTTTGGGTGATTTTGAGTCTTCATGGCTGCACCTGACACAAAGTGCACTGAAGAGGTCACGACTATGCTGAAGACAAACATTACTGTGACACAGAGTTGCTCTAAACCTGCTTATTTTAGCAGTAACAGAATGACAACTGGCTCATACTAGTGAATCCAAATATGAGTATGTTTTTCACCCAGTTCACTGACACACATACAGGCAGTCGCAGCTCGTTTATGATGATGACTTTTTTACGATCATCTTTTAACAGTTGTTTTGGGAAACTCCACCTGCCTGTGACACTGTGGATCATGATATACTGTTATAACCATCCCTTGAAGAATGTGTGAGCATCAAAGACACTGTCCTCCAGTGAATTGTGTCATATCTCACAGGTAGAAGCTTCTCAGCTCACCCAGGTAAACATGGTCAACTGCAGCCCCTCTTGCTTGTGGCGTCCCTCAGGGCTCCATTTTAGGTCCCTTCCTCTTCTCATTATACATACTTCCTTTTGGGCAAAACAAACAATGCTAACCAAACAAAAGTATATGACAACCCAGTTTCATATCATGATACGAGTACTGTATTAATGACAATGTTTTTTTTATCCTGGTATTGGGGACACTTGTAGTAGTTTTTTGACAAGTGTGACATTTGTGTGTTCTCACGGGAGTGCGTTTTGTTGGGTGTCTAACTTATAAATGATATGCATAAATGTCAGCATGCAGCAAGACAAAGATAAATTAATACTGAAAACAAAACAGGAGCAACTTTCAGAACATCCCTAATATGTAAAAGCAATCCCAGCAAAAGCAGTATGGAATCCCAAACATATGACCGGCACACATTTACTGTTCCTTCAGTCTTGTTCCATCATGGCAGGTATAAAGAAAACTACTACAAAGAGTGATCAATACCTGCCTGGCCCTGCACAGCCTAAAGAAGTGTACCGGAATAAAATGTAACTCAATCAAATGGCTTAAATAAAAGATTAACCTCAAGGTCACTGGGTTCTTTAATCTTCCTTTAGTCGCTCATGTTTCTATTCCTGATATCTCGCTCCTGACTGATGGCATCATTTCCCCATTTTGGGACAGAAAACCTTTACCTGACTGGGACAGCCTTTTGAGGGTTTTCACACTTAGACTGCAAATTAACTCCAGCATTTAATTCAGAAACATTTCTATAACCTTAAACTTAATATCAACATTTTCTGTTTTGTTTTCTTTGTTTTGTCTAAATTATTGTCATTCACTTGGAGTTTCTGGTCAGGTGATGAATGTAAGCTTAATATTCAGTCTTCTTTTTTGTCTTCGATGGCCTGTTCACAAGTTCCTCTATAAATATCTGCTTAGGCGCTGAATGCTCTCCTACATCCACCAGCTGCTTCTGGCTGTTTGTTTCAGCTGGAAACAAGGTTAATATTGAACCACATAGTAAAGTTGCAGCTGTGTAAACAAAATAATGAAATCAAACAGGCTTAAAATGCTCTGCAGAGATGAGGAGAATTGCAAAGTAAAGTGAATATATTCTGTATGAGTTTGCCACAGCATCATTTGACACACTCATATGAGGGTATTGATTGTCAAAGCTTTAAAAAAGGCCTAAAAATCATTTGAATCTCCATTATTTCACCTTTATTATGAGAGGCTAGACTATAGAAAAGGTCCTACACAAGTAATATTTAACTGATACTAACTAGATTACCATTTTACTAGATAAATACGAGCTCTATTTAACTGTTAAAATAATCCCAGTGAGGTTTCATTCACTTTGGAAACAACAAGTGAGTTAAATATATAAAAAACAGCAATGGATCATCAAAAAAAGTAAATCAGAACATATTTCAAGGACCATCCAATTATTCTAATAGACCCACAGTGTGGTCATACAACAGCATTATGCCACAGATAGCTGTGAGCACCTGTTTGTCCCATACCAACACCCAGGAGAGACACATGTATATGCCACACAGAGGGGTAAAAAATGCAACTGGAGCTGAGAGGAGCTCTGCCAGGTTGCAGCAGCTGCTTCAAACAGCTATGAATCCTGCTATCAAACACAGAGCCTTTTGAGAAGCGAAGCGTCCGTGTCAGCCCCTGTCACTGGCAGATGGAGGCACGAAAAGCGAGGCCAGTTTTGGGTTTTGGATGCAGAATCTGTAGTGGCTCACGTTCATTTTGTGGCATTAATTTTACACACAGAACAGCAAGAAAGAGGAATATATTAGTATGACATGAGAATGTTGCCTCGCACATGGCAGAGGTTGTGGATCTGACTAATTTCTTGTCTTTAAAAATGAGTTTTATCACCATACCGCCATCAGTGAAAATCAGATTATTATCTAAGCAGGTTCTAACACCTGCAACTGTGAAGCACCATACGCTGCAAAAAATAAAAATAAAAAAGTAAAAATGTAATCTATAAGCTTTAACACTAAGATGACAGCTTTCCACCAAGTCTTAGCATCCTTCTCCTGGCATAAAAATAAAGAAAATATATCGTTTATTCATATATCAATTCACATCGATGGATACGAACCATGATTTCAGAGGGAATGGTACTTTTTGCATTTCTTTTCCACTGAAAAATAATAAAAATGATTGCGATTTTTGCTGCATCTTCCCTTACGTCTGTAGAATGCGATTTGTAGGCCGGAGCGCCTTTGTGGCAACACGATGCTTGATTTATAATGGTATGACGTGACACATTTATAGCTCAATTAGTGAAATTGTGTGTACATCAGACGTGTTGCGTGATCACATCTGAGGGTAACAGTGTTCATGCCACACTCTGATACATAAACCAAAGCCAACCATTAAGGAGAGACAAGACATGCATACAGAAAGTGGCTGAATCAGTTCTATAAAGAATGAAATAACACCACATACTGCAGCCAATACAAAATCCTATCACCAAAATAGGATATAGAAATCAATTCTGTTTCAACCATATCATTCGGGACAGTAGACAGACAGTGAAGCCAGCCAAGAGTCTGAGCAGTCTGATGCCAGCCAGGTGTGACCATCAGTGTAACACCATCTCGTCTGCTTTTTGTTCAAGTCATGTAATGAGTTGGTAATGAGGCCATGAAATATTGATGGTGGTGCTCACCTAACACTGGGTCGCTACAGGGGTCCTCTCAACTTATAACATGACAGTAGAAAAGGAAAAACACTTCACACCTCTCTTGCTGAAGAACTACAGACGAGGAGACTTATGAAGGTATTACTGGGACAAAACAATGGAAGTGGAATTTGTTTTTGCAGACAATAGCTACACATAAAGTGTGTAAATCTCAGGTCACAGAGAAAAAAATCTGTCAGAGTTGCCTACTAGTAGCTTGTCTTTTTTTTTCTCCCACAAACACAGCAAGTGGACAAATGATATTCTATTAATTATGAATTGAGAAACCCATACTTTTGAAACAGATGTTGCAGTGGATGTTGTGCATAACACATTTACACACCTGTATCAACAAATGTGAAATAAACGGAAAAAAAATGCTTTGAAAATGTCATTGATCGTGTTACAAACAGAATTTGTGATGCACACAAGCACAGTTTAACAATAATAGAACCAGAAAGTGATATTATAGGCAGACTACTATATATACTGAAGCATATCATTCCTTATGAGTTATGCTTCTGGAAAACAACGAGAGACATTTGTTGACTCTTTTAAAAACTTACCAGTTTGGGATCCAACATAAGAAAGCTCATGTAAGAGGCATTTAAATGGAATCAGTATTAGGTCTGTGTTTGACTGCTAAACTTCGAGCATCGCTGTAAAACTTTGCTTTGGCACAGACAAGTACAATGAGGGAAACGGCTTACCTTAGTTATCTCATTGATGAGGGCTGCATGAGCTTTTGTGCTGCTGTCTTCCAGTCGATTGGCTTCGGTTCTAGTTTATGCTTACAACACATGCTTTTCACTGTAAACATTAGCAGTTAGCCCGTTTCGTTTAGATTAACACCGGCGTGAACTCCTTTAGTTGCTCCAGGTAGTTAGCTAGCATCATCCAAACTTCAGATTTTCACCAAAACGTTTATATTTGACCAGATTGATTTCATGTGGATAACCGCCGTCGTTTTATCGAGTCAAAGAACACAAGTTGGACTTCTGTGTAGCTTTCTGTGTAGTTAACGATCAGTACTACTTCTACTCAGCTACAGTAATAAACAAAGTGTACTTACGTTGCTAGCTAACTAGCTAGCAAGCTACCGGCTGCTGGACTCGGGTCGCTAAGCAACTACAAGCGGTACTTTGGAAGCTATGCTAACAGCTAGCTTATTAGCGACGCTGTTACCAACCAGTCGACTTGTTCTAACATCGACATCCTGTAGAAGCCTTTTTAAAACACATAGAAGTGAGAAACAACGCGCTATTTGACTAATAATAGTTTGTTTTGAGGTTAGTTGGTTGTTTTTGGTAAAGGACTACAAAAACGATGTTAAACTACAATTACCTACGTCCTCAGTCTGCCGTCGGTCGACTACAAGTGTCGGGACGAACCGAGGACTTATAGGAGTGACCTCCGGCTTGAGAGAGAAGTGGGAGAGCGAGCAGTCCCAGCTGTCGTGTGAAAATGGTGAGTAGAGCTAGAAGCTATTTTTTGCCTGTTGTTATTTATTCTGTAATGCATTGTGAAACACTGTTATTACAGCTGGTCCAATTAGAAGTTCACAAACTTGTGCAAAGTTCGTCAAAGTTCGCTGTGCAAGTAGAATTTAACGACAGTTTGGTCTGTGGCATGAACCTAAAGTTTATGTTAGCTAAAATAAATCCATATCATGTTCATGCAGTTTGATACGTGGGTTGACTTAAGAGGTTGAATGAATACTACTGAGTGAAGAGTAAAGATGGCGATAGACTTGATAACCAGGATAAGTATATCCTGGTTTTCTTATGTAACAGAGCCTGTGTGGAAGCCACAGGGTCTATTTTTGAACTGACCCCGATTTAGTAAATCCTGTAGACAAGCATGGACACCCAGCCCCCATGACAATCAAACTGTCACTTTCATACAGTGAAATCAATGCTAATAATACTAACAGCAGTCTCCTTTGCCTTGTGTCTTGCAGGCTGAGCCTATTAGAGTTCTGGTGACCGGCGCTGCTGGGCAGATTGCCTATTCTCTGCTGTTCAGCATTGCCAAGGGAGATGTCTTTGGCAAAGATCAGGTAAAGAAGGGCTTTGTTTTGCTCTCACAACACCCTCAATTTCCTTATCTTGTTAGACAGTTTCACAAGCCATGTGTAGGACACTGACGGCCGCCACTAAGCAGCTGTGAATGTCACAAACCGTCCACGTCATATCTGGGGGTGACACTGAACAGATGTTGTGCTTGTGGGAATTGATCAGATTGCGCTTGCTCATCCAAGTGGCCTCGGACCAGCCGGGATTGTCCTTGAAGTCAATGAAATGGATCTTGTTCAAAGAGTCTTAGGCCAACTTTAAAACCACTTGATCCATTTGGCACATGCCCTAGCCAGTGAGCTGCGTGGCTTAGGCCTTCACACGCTGTTCCAGAGACAGCTAAGCCTCCCGCTGACATGGAAATTATTATATAAATACATTTGAATTCAGTTCAGCCCATTTCATTCATCACATTCCATTGCCATACATTCTTTCCCCCCTCTCCCCTCCTTCTGCCAGCCAATCATCTTGCTCCTGCTGGACATTGCGCCCATGCTGCCCGTCCTTGAAGGCGTTGTCATGGAGCTGCAGGACTGTGCCCTCCCACTTCTGAGAGGTAATCATCTGAGAGTGTGACAACACAACTGATAGAATAGCATCAAATATCAGTCTTCCTTCAACTTGTGATATGGATTTCACTTTACAATTGGCTGTGGACACACAGAGAATTTAAAATGGTATTTTCGAAATGTGCTACTCCATTAAAACAGGTGTTAATATCAGTTCCATTACGATATTAGCACCTGTCTACAAACAATAAACTCATATATAAATAATAATGAGGAAAAAAACCACAATATAACCTTCTATGTTCTGTTAAATTACATATAACGCCATATTACAGTTGGGAATCCTCATTCATTGACCCAAATGTGTATGTATTGTTGTTTAGCTTTTGATGCTGTCACAGTGCTCATTTCATCACATTAATAACTGAATGCTCTTGCTATCGTGACAAGTAAGAACCAAATCGTGAGTTACACTATGACCCCATGGCTCTGTCCACAGCTCGATGTATGGCTCATGTCACGTAGAAGAAGGCTTCGGTGTAGTTTTCACTTTTCTGGAGGCTCTAAATTTAATTTGGGTAAAAGTAGTTACCAAGAAAAATTTGGGGTTTTAATTTAAAGTGTTTTACATTTGCATAAAAACGTTCACTTTCTGCATGTTTGGGCTCCATTGAGAATAGATGTCCACTTTGTTATTATTTATTTCTTTACTTTCTACGATGTTGAGGGTAACGACATTTAGTAGCAATGAAATCATTAAATATGCATGGTGTTTATTGGGTATGTGCAATACAGGTGGCTCATCTTGGACAACAGATGTTGCAGCTGTATATTTATGCTTCACAATTAAGTGTACACTGCAAGATGTGGCTTTTTTTTGTTCTGTAAATGTAGCCTTTAGATGCTTCATTGAAGAATCTTAAGGCAACCTTTGACTCTACGTTGTTAATATTTGTACACATCCCTGACCGCTATTAATCAGCTGCTGGAACTAATAAAACAACTTTGCGTTCCTTCTAAATGTTGGAGGTGGAGGATACATTTTCCTTGGTTTGGAAAGGCCTAGTTTCCTTTTCTGAGACACTAGACGAACCAAAACTCAAAAAATATGGCGCTGGCGTATGGCCTTGCTGTCATCATTGTAACTGCTGTCATAACATCAGTCGTGAGGCGCCATTATGTGCCACCTCCATTGTGACCTGGAATTTTTCCTTTGAAATGGTGCCGTCCTTTGCTTTGTTTGGACGGGGGGCTGTGAGAGGCCCCAGTATTAACCAACTGTAGTGCAAAGACAACGCTTCGTGCACTGAGATGGGCCCGGCCGAATACAATGCCGGTCGCACGTCCGACACATCCAAAATACATTTTCTAAAAATGGTATGCGTGTATGATTTTGTAAAAGAGGAAAAAAATGAGTCGAATAGTGATGAGTAACTTGTTGTTACTGCTTTAGGGATTTTGTGAGGAAATTCTGCTCATTTATCAAGAAAGAACTGAGAACATGTTGCTTTTCAATAGAAACCTAGTCTGTCAAGAGATGGCACTAAAATGTACTATTTGGACATTGTAGGCAAGGGGGTCACTCATGTTTAAGTAATTTTCAACCACAAAGCTGAACAAAAATAAATCAGTTTACATGCTAAAGTTGTACTGCTTTGTAGCCACATCTCTGAGACCCTGCAGACCAAAAAGTTGCCCTTTAAGGGTTTTATTGATTATAGTAACACAACAGTAATTCATTTCCACCCTCCACAGAGATTGTCCCCACCGACAAGGAGGACGTGGCCTTCAAGGACCTGGACGCCGCCATCTTGGTGGGCTCCATGCCCAGGAAGGAGGGCATGGAGAGGAAGGACCTGCTCAAAGCCAACGTGGCCATCTTCAAGAGCCAAGGAGCCGCCCTGGAGAAGTATGCCAAGAAGACCGTCAAGGTAATGACATGCAAATTTCCTGAGCTCCCACGGTTTGTTTTCTGCTTGTGAGGATGCTGAGCGAAACGATTCTGCTCCTGGCAGGGTTGCTCGTGTTACATATTTCTCAAGTTAAACATTTCTCGCTCACTGTAATTTGCTTTGGGTTGATGCCCATTGTTTAAAGCTCTCATGTTTGTGATTACAGAAACATATTTAAAGTACAAGTTAATTTCCTACTGCTGAACCTTCTGTGGTATTGCAGATCACAAGTTTGCTTTTTGAACTGAACAGCAGCTCCACTCTCCAGAGAGTCATATATACACCCTACAGCAGCATAGTGTTTTAAACTGGCCAAGGACTGTCACAATTATGAGTTTACATTCAGATGTGTGTCTTTGTTTTCAGGTGCTGGTTGTTGGGAACCCCGCCAACACCAACTGTCTGATTGCAGCCAAGTCTGCTCCCTCCATCCCCAAAGAGAACTTCTCCTGCCTGACCCGTCTGGACCACAACAGGGCTCGCTCTCAGGTACGCTCCTTTAAGTGATCTGCTGCTACTTTTAGCAGCCACATTGTCAGACTTTTGATTTCTTTCTTTTATTTTTGCTACTCAGGGAAGCTAAGTTTACTCTGTCTTCTGTAGGTGGCGATGCGCTGTGGCGTTCCTGCCACTCATGTGAAGAACGTGATCATCTGGGGCAACCACTCGTCCACCCAGTACCCAGATGTGCACCACTGCTTGGTCAACATGTCCGGCAGTGAGCTCGCCTGCTTTGATGCAGTCAAGGATGACGCCTGGCTCAAAGGAGACTTCATTGCGGTGAGTTGATGACTACTGGGTCAGTCAGGGTATAGTTATACTTAGCAGGTTGGAAAAAGTTTAGAAACATCATGTATGAAACAGAAATATGTTGACATTACATGGAAAGATTAATTTAAGTTTCTTGTCATAGGCATCGTGTAGTTTTTCAATTTAGATATTTGGTGCTTTGCTCCCAAAACTCGAGAGACAACAGCTGCAGATATTTTAGTCTTGAAATCAAAACCTTACATATAAAATTAAATCTAGCTGTCACAGGGATTACACTGGACACTTCATCACAGTTCCTCTAGTCATGTCGGCTGCTGCTTAATGCTCCGTGTTCTTTTCTTGCAGACGGTGCAACAGAGAGGCGCTGCAGTCATCAAGGCCAGGAAGCTGTCTAGCGCCATGTCTGCAGCCAAGGCCATCTGCGACCACATGAGAGACATCTGGACCGGCACCCCCGAGGTAGATGCCTTATTTATTAATGGCACAGCTATAATGTGGGAATGTTTGCCTGTTGACCTGCTCTGACAGGAAGTTGCTATATTGAAGAGCACAGCCCACAAGCGCTCAATTGTCGCTCATTCGTGATCTAGTACAGTGAAAATGAAAAGTACAGCGAGAGACAGAGTGAATGAATTTTGGCAGTCAACATACTATCCATCTATTTTCTACCACTTCTCTGGGTCATGGAGGCAGCAGCTTAAGCAGAGCTGCCCAGAACTCCCTCTTCTCACTACCAGGGTTTTCCCGAGCCAGCTCAGAAACATCATCTCTCCAGCGTATCCTGGGTTTAGTCCCGGGTTCTCCTCCCAGTTGGACATGCCCAAAACATGTCGCATGGGAGGCCTGAACCCCCTCAACTGGTTCCTTTAAGTGCAGAAAACAGTCGTTCCCCTCTGAGCACCTCCTGTATAACCAAACTCCTCAGTCTAGTGTTAATCTTTCTACATCCGCAAGTTTATCATCTCCCCAAATCCATGCAGACCCCTCTATGGATGTCCACATACAATTAGTTCCTGCATGGCAACAACACTACAAGAGCAATAATGCACATGCATGGTTAGTGTTCGTGGTCAGAGTACGTAGACTGAACCTACTGTGCATGTATAGAACAGAAAGTCATTTCTGCAGCTTTAACAATCAAAATTCCTTGAAGTTAAAATGATAGCTATCACAAGCGTATTGTGAAGTGTATAAAAGGCATTATTCATATTTTATTACGTGTCACCACAATAATGAGGCACATTATGTAAACTTTGTCCCTGTTGTCACGGAGAGTCTGGAGCAGACAGATTTATGCAGATACAGAGCTGATTAAAGCTGTGTCTGTGGTTCTTGTGGCTAACTGTGGAAGTTTAAAATCTTCCTGTTGTACACGGTTTCAGATCTTACAAAATCTGACAAAAAGAGTGTCGAGGTATTTTTCTGTGTCTGTGCTCACACATGAGTTTTAGTCACAAACCTACTTTGGCTTTCTTCCCCTGGAGTTTGTAGCTAACTAGTGAGATAGAAGTATTTGTATACATGTTTGTACTTGTTGGTCTTCTTTGTGGCAAAGGGAAAGTGAAGGCAAGTCTTGGATTTCTGACAGGTTACATGCAGCACTTTGAAATTCAGTGTTTGGTGTTGCATTAGAATACCTATTCTAACGTTAGTGATGATGAGATGTCATGTCTGGAAAAAGCTGTTTGGAAATACAGTTTTAAACAATTTGTCATCTTTTTTTCTTTTTGGTAGGGTGAGTTCATCTCTATGGGTGTTTACTCCTCTGGTAACTCCTATGGAGTCCCAGAAGACCTCATCTACTCATTCCCTGTCCAGATCCAGGTAAGACAAATCTAGCCTTGTGCTTCCTTTTGTAGCAGCCGACAGTTTGTTTTGAAATCGGCTGATAGCTACAGATACACTGTTTGTCATTTCTGTGAAACAACGAAGAAATGTGTTTGTCAACTGTTTACTTTGGCATTAATCTGAGGAAAATAAATAAATACAAAACACAAATGTGAAGAAGGCACACTCTTTCCACTCTTTCCTCAGAACAAGACCTGGAAGATTGTGAGTGGTCTGGCCATCAACGACTTCTCGAAATCCAAGATGGACGCCACGGCAACAGAACTGATAGAGGAGAGAGACACAGCTGTGGCTTTCTTGGCAGTATGACTAGACCCTGCAGGGCCAGCGCCACCCCGACACTTAGACAGCGACAAAACTCCAGACGCACGGCTGTGATGAAGCACTCCACCAACCCCTGCATTACCCAAAATTACTGTGGGCATGTGTGTGAGAGAGACCGAGTCAGTGTTTATGGGTGTAAGGTTGGATTTATACTTGTGCGTTGAAGTGGTTTGAATCGGGAACAGCATATTTTGTGATCTAGAAAAACAAAAAGCATGCGTAAAGGTTTACTTTGGTTACAAATTACTGGACAGGATTGGCCTCTTGCTCTTTCGGGGGGAATCATGACGCATAAGTATAACTTCACCGTTAGTATGCAGTATTTACTGAAAGTCCATCAGATTTGTTAGCAGCTACTTTCTCTCTTTTTTTTCTGGGGGCAATTGAATGGATGGTTGTTACAGAGTCAGTGATGCACTAAGTCTTCAAACACTGGAAAAGCTGAAACAATAAAAATAATGAAACTATGCTGTTGTGTTGTGTTTGTTGATGGTTTTAAATTTCCAAACATGGAAAACAAATGGACACAGAGTAGTTGCCAGGTCTGAAGCTGCCACAGTTCTAGGTTTCAGCAACGTGGGGTCTGAGTGGTTAAAACTGCCACCCCTCTATATATGGAAATGATCTCCATGTCTGAGTCGGTTTCCTTCAACAAGCCAGTGACGTGCATGCAAACAAACTCTCAAGCATTTTTCCAAACATCCATATTGTTAATTAAAAAAAAAAAAAAAGATTTCCAATAAAATAAATCATTTCAAACGTGCAGCTTTGACTCTTATGCAGCCATCTCTCTCTAACTATAGTCATTCTGTAGTCTTGAGGATTATTATGACCTGGATGGTTGAAAATCTACACAAACACTTCAATTTACTGCACAGTGAGGTCTGTCTCTCTGAATGAACCCAATAATGTACTGGCACATGGTGTATGCTACCTTTTGCTCTGATTATATAATTGCTTTCTTGTTTAAAACCTTTTTTATGTTCTTTGACAGCTTCTTCAAACTTGACAGACTGATCAGCTCAGTGGTCAAAACAGGCTTTTTTCTATTTTAGCTGAGGGGAAGCCCCATCTTTCTTAAAGACTTTGAAGAAGTTCATCATGCTTTTATCACCACACAGGGGGACAATTCTTTGTACGTGGTTGTATACAGTTTATGGTTCAGGTTCCCGTCTGTCAACAGGAAAAAGCAAACGCCATCACTTAACACTAGTATTTGGCTCCAGCCACTGGCTCCCTGTCTGTTTCTGAATTGATTTTAAGATTTTATTGTTTGTTTTAAAGGTTTGGGTTGGTGCCACCTTATGTATCAGATCCAGGCCCAAAAATAGAGATGCAGGAGCTGCTCCTTATCTCTGGAACAGTTTACCTTTCCATGGGAAAACTGCTCTGGCTTTAGAGACTTCTGATCATTGATTGAAGTAGAGCTTGACACCCTGACTTCATCTCTTCTCATGGTCTGTCTTTTACTCTTAATTTTATTTTATGAATGTGATTTAATCTTTAAGTGATTGTGTTTTATTATTTTCACTGTACTGCTTTTTGATCCAGGTCCTGTTGCCGACACACGTGCTTCATAAATAACTTTTACTCTGACATCATCACATGGGATAGGCTCCAGATCCTTCACAACCCTCCACAGGACAAAGCAAACGTTTATCCAAAGACGTTTCACCTCTCATCCAAGAGGCTTCATCAGTTCTGACTGACTAGTTCCAGATACTTATAAAATCCTTAAGGAGCCATTAACCGTTGCGTTTCGGTTTCAATTGGGGGTTTGTTGCTCCTCTCACTCGTTATGCGAGTTGTTAATGCCCCCCCTGCCTCAGACCTCCACCTCTATTGAGTGATGGTCTTTCCAGTTGGACATAGATGACTTCTTTCACTCCTCTCTCAAACCATCTGTCCTCTCTGGCCAAAATCTGTACACTATTCTCTTCAAAACGATGTCCTTTGTAGGAGGTGAAGTACAGTGAAATGACACATTTCCACCAGGCGGGGGCAGCATTTCCTCATTTGTTTTGCCTTGCCAGCTGCATCAGGAGTGATTATGTAACATCTGCAATTAATTACATTCACAATGTGCCTTTGTTGATAATTAGTAAAGGGGGAAATTCTGCTAAAAAGGTTCACTGCTCCAGCATTAATGGGGTAAATCTGGCGTATCCAGTGGAATGTGTGAATGCAGGGCTCCCAGTTTAATCACTGTAACATGTGGGTGTAGAGATATATTTTCTTAAAGTTTAAAATATTTACTTAAAAGATGTAATAAAAACCCCAATGTGACTGTGTGAACATATGGCTTCTTTGGTGTTTTTATTTCCCAAATGTGGAGCTTTCTTCAACCCGGAATTGTCAGAAACCACACTGCACGTCGCAGAATGCTATTGGCTGTCGAGTCGGCGTCACACGAAAGCAGCTTTTTCATTGGCTGCCATCCTCCTGCGCGGCTCCCATTCGCTGCTTCCCGGAGTGGAACTGTTGTGTAAAATATCTTGAAACTACCCGATCATCTTTTTAAGTTTTTTTCACTTTTTTACCCCTTTTGTGATTTTATTTCAATCACCAAAGTCGAAGGGAAGCAGCTGGCCGGTGCTCTAAGGGGACAACCTGGTAAAAACTACCCCGCATCTGGTTCAGCTGCTCTGCGGGATCGCTGTGGTCCTTCAGACCTGCAGGACCAGGCCGACCCCATCGACTTTTCTTCCGCCTGCCAGCATCCTACAGTCACACAGTAAGAAAATGGCTTTTTAATCTGAGAGCTGTTTATCACTTTAGCGCTTTCTACCAGCCGCCCCTCGGCACCACTTCCTCCCCGGGCGGGTGGTGCTGGGGGTCGGATGTTCGGGTTGGGTTCGTGTCGCAGCCCGGCGGTGCTCCTTTTTCACGTTTAGCGACATTGAGCTCCTTTGGTGTGGTGTTCACGGACCCGCCGTGGATTCGAGTTGTCCCCCCTCCTGTGTGTGTTGTCTCTGGAGGACATAGCGTCCCTCTCCGCGCATCCACCCTTCATTCATTTCCGCAGCCTGTAGCGTGTGAACTTCCCCGGCGGGCGGGCAGGCGGCTCCCGGCGGGTGGAGCGTGCGCATCCGAGCGGTTAATAATTGACGTGCGGGTCTGCTGTGAGAGAAGAGGGCGAATATCCCAGACTCTGTTGCAATAAAAGGTGATAAAGATGAAGGCAGGGAAGAGGGTGGGGGGCGAGGCAGCAGAGAAATGTGACCAGAGGTTGGGAGTCACAGCCGGGATTTGTGACGTGGTTTACTGTATCGGGGCTGGAAAAGCGAGAAGCGCTCCGTGCGCGCAATAAAACATCTCAGTCAGTCGATCCGCAGCGGCTTCATGCTCAGGGACGACGTTTGGCTGCCGTCCACGGAGATAAGTGTGATCGGATGAATGTGTCCTTGTTATGCTGGTTTTTTTTTTTTATGAGTACGTGAGGCGGACGGGATGTCTTATCCTCTGAATGGACTTTAAAAGGCTCCTGCGGCTCCCGATGAATGACCAGTTGGCTGTTAGGACACCTCAAGGAAACTTTTCTTCATCATTGTGCGTTCAATGACAGCGAAAGCTCTCTGGAATATCTGACTTGAAGCGTTTCCATTTGGATTTATCTTCTTATTTAACCGTTTTTGTCGCTGAACTTGGCAGCTTTAACATGGCACTTTATGTAGAAGGTAAGCGCCGTTGGGGTGGTGGGCAATTACGCACCATTTCCAGTGATAATCCCACGTAGGGTTACAGTACCTACCTGTGTTTGAGCATCGCCCAGAGCCAGCCACGGTACCCGCAGTGTTTTTTCATAGCTTCTGGGCAGTTTTGAATTGCTTCCAACAAAAAAGACCACAAGTGAAAGTTTGCACCACATGTCGAATAATAAATCACAAGCTGCTGTGCTGTCCAGGTCATCAGATTGTCTTCATGTGAAGGCTCTGATATCTGACATTCTGTGATTTTTGTTTTATGTGTTCTTGTTTTGCCGGGTTTTTTTTTTATGAGGTAGAAGCTTCACTGATGAATGAATGACCAGCTTTTGGGGAACTTTTCTTATTCATTTGCCGGATGCACATTCAATGACACTTCAGGGTGAAAGCTCTCTGGGATATTTGACTTGAGGCATTTATCTTATTATTTAACCGTATTTATTGCTGAACTTGGCAGCTTACACAGGAGGTAAGTAATGACTGGTTGTAACCCCAGGTGGGTATAAATGACCGTACCTGTGTTGTAATGTCTCCTTCATTGACTAGATTCACACCAACCACATTATTGGAAGTGTTTTTCATAACTTATGGCTATTTTTTTTCTACTTTTCAAGCAAAACATGTCTTTTATTTGGAACACTATTTAAGCTAAAGTTTGCCCTCAATCGCAAGTGAACACATGAAGGGTCGGCGCTGTGACGTCTGACATGTTTCACTACATTATCTTTAGTAATCAGATTTGAAACCTGAAAGGGAAGAAGTTGCTTTTCACTGCAGCTCCTATAGGATTACCATGACCTGGATGTCTGACAGTCTTCACACCAACCAGGCCTTTCTACGTGTCAGTCAGGCGAAGGTTTCCAGTTGAATCGCTGCTGGCTTTAGTTCAACTCTGTGGCATTCTAGCTGATCAGGGACGCCGCTAATGTTTGTCTGTGAACAGTGTTGTTACATGCTGTCTAATAAGCAGCCAGCCTTCCTGCCGGTAACTTCCAAGTTATTACCGCCAACACAGCACTCAGCCTTTCAGGGCAAATGTGTCAGTTAATGTGCCAGTGATGATGATACTTTACTGTCAGACAACATTTTTTTTTCCTTGCTCCATTAGGAGCATCACAGAGAAGACCAAAATCGTGCAAAGAATCAACAACAAACACATTTAGCGTAAGATTAGGATCACAGAAGCTGGTATCAAGTCCCTTCAAGGTATGTTTGACTGCTGCACAAGCGAGTGCTTCCGTCAGATATACCTTGAAGGGACTTGACTCTGTGTTCTGTGATTGTAAGGTTATGTTAAAGTCCCCTCAAGATGTATTTGACTGGTGCACAAATGAGCTCTTCAGTCTGTTAAATCGTAGAACTCTGTAGGTCCAGTTTAATAGGAACACCGTGTGTCCAATGTTCAGGGCACGACTGGGATCAAGGACGGTGTTGTTGGGTAGCTTTAATATGTTACTACAGTAGGCTGACTCACTGAGTAGGTCTACAATCTTTAAGCAGGTTTGTATTTGGTGGAGTATTTTTGGCTCCAACGTGGTGGACGAACACTTGTGCCGTGATTTCTGGCAGTAGATGATTCCTTAAAATCTGAAACCACTTCTCTGTTGGGTTTAGGTTGTTTAAGCTCAGCACTGCCTCCTGATGATGACTGATTAGCTGTCAAACGGTTTTCAAACATGTACTGGCTACAGCTTCATTTTTTTGTTGGAAAACTGTTAATGAACTTCCCAGCAGTCTGACCCACCAGACGTAGGATACAGGTAGCCAGTCGATTATCAGTTTGCATAACCGTATTTGTCTCCCTGCATGCAAATGTTCCACCAAAGCAATTCCACGTCACTATTTTGAGAGACCACTGAAGCCACACCTTTGGCATAGCCCCGCCCACAAAGATGGTGACTGGTTTAGAGAAATACAAACCAGATAGGTAAACTGCTCAACTTTCTAGTGTTTCACAAACTAGTTGCTGTAAAGACACCCCTTGACTCCGCACCGCCGTCCGCTCAGCTGTAACACGTGCTCTGCTGCATGTGCTGCAGACAGTGTAGTCAACAACCATATGTCTCTACTGATGTATTATGTGATTGGTCCAGTATATCACAAAACAACTGACAAGATCCTTATTTTGGCATGTTAAAGACTACAGAGTGAATAGTTTTATCCATACGCTGCTTCTTTAAAGACACACGAACCACGATGCTGTTCTTTCATAGTGGATCTTCTGAACTGCTGCTGTCAATAATTGATCTATTGATTAGTGGGCATACACAATAGTAGCCCGAGGCTTGTCACAGTCACAGCACACACCTCGTTTCTATCTGCCTGCTGACAAAAAGTGGAAACAAAGCTTTGAAATAGTCTATCCACACTAACCAAAAGTCTGGCCAGGGATTGTGAAACGCTGGTATTTTGCAAATACTTCCTGCTGCTGCTGCCAGTGAACAGCGGCATGTGATTTATCTTACTCATTTTACTTGAGAAGTTAGTTTCACGTTGTCACTTTTGGCTCTGTGCCAGACGATTATTCCATTGTGAGGCGGTTCGTTTACTCGATGAGTGTTTGGATAACCAGCTAGAAAAATGCTGAAAGGCAGGAATCTTAGGGAACCCATAAGGTGTCCTACTGACGTCTGTGTACTGTCTCTGAAATGCTTTTCTTTTGTAGTCGTCAGTCAATGAAGATGTCAAGCAACTCTGGTATAAATAGTACGGTTTGTAAACACCTGTTACTGCTGTTTTTTTATCAGATTAAACACTTGGCCAAGTTCTACTGAAGGGAAGCCACACGAAAGCCTCTTGGCTCTGATGGCAGTTATTTTTTTTTGCTTTCGTTTCTAACTTTTATTTATTTTATTTTATTTTTCAAAAATTACATCAAGGTAGACCAAACAGACTTCACAGCTTTAAAGGTCACATTTAGCTTTTCAAACCACCTCGTGCGCTTTTGAACTCGAGGCCTTTTAGATAAATGTGTCACGCCTTTCTTTGTGAACAGTGGAAATGTTTGATCAAAACTACTCCTGTTGGTTGAACAAAAAAAATAACTGGGACCAGAGCTGCTTTGTTTATCAGTGTAGCCGCACCACTTTAGTCATTTCATCAAAGAGGCTCTGCTGCGCTACTGCAGAACTATTAGGTGGTTTACTTGTGCTTGCTTTTACCGCCACCACAGCCTGAATAATACTGGCTTTGGAGGCCAACACTGATATCTGAGAGCATAATAAACCAGGAGGGTGCTGTGAGAATGCATCCTCCATCGAGGCTGATGATCTAAGAAAGTGATCCAGCTCCGTGTCAGAATTGAATCAGTTCTTCCTTTCGGTTGTGCTCAACTTCTGCACCAAGTTTCCTGAAATTCAGCTGTTTTGATGTAATCCTGCTGACAAACAGACAAAAAAACGATCCTGCGAGTGATAAAGAAACCTTGAGTAAGTTATTAGAGAAGTGAAACCAAGAGCAGAACCTGTTACTGAGTTGAATAATAAACTTGTGCGCCATATTTCTGTTTAACTGCCTAAAAATATCTGTCCTCTTTTGCACCGCAGTGATCTTCTCTTTGCCCTGTACATCATAATGAGCTGTCATTTCTACATATGCAAGCTATACTATACTTCCTCTTAAGACACTCCAGGGCCTCGGAGAGACGCATCCATCACCAGTATCACAGAAAGCCGTTTTATTTCTCCTCCTTCCTCCGGTTTCTTGAGCCTGATTTGTTCCACAGAAGCTGAGGTTATCGTGAGGGCGACGTTACTTATGTAAGCAGGTAGAAAAGTGACAAAAGCACATTCGCTGATTATAAGACTGACAACCAGGCTGGCAGATGTCATGCACCGCATACTGACACCAATGCTGCCGTATATCCATTACAGAATAATGGTACAAGAACCCGCTTTTTACATCTTAATTTAGCTGTGATGATAAATCACTGAGATGTTTCTCTTGTGGCCAGGTCTACTGAAAATAAATCTGCTGCTTACTTCCTTCATCGTTTGGTGTGAAGTATCAGGAAGCAATAAAAAAAAAAAAAGATCCCGACATCGTAGAGAACACGGTGTTAGAAAACAGTGTTGCTTTGTCTGACCAACAGCCAAAAAAAAGGGTTTATTATATCATAAACTACGGCTGTTTAAAATGGTATCTGTGAAATTTAAGCTCAGGATATCAAATGTGTGCCCAGATTTTAAACTGCGACTCGCTTATTTTCTCACACATTGAAATTCGAGGAAGTTTAAATGGCAATATCTCAGGTACTATTCAAGATAAAATCCTACATTTTCCCTCTTTATTTATGTCACTGGTTTAGAATCTGCAATATTTAACAAAAAGTCCCATCTTTTAGCACGTCAATAAAAAAAAAATGTATAATGCAGATGTAAACTAGTGATATTTTCTGAACCATATGCAGCTAAATGTCCAAATTATACAAAAAAACCCCAGAAAATATGTTTTAATATTAAATACTTGGTCACAATTTAGCTTCTGGTTAACCTTCATAACTTATTGTGTAAGTATGGCAAGTTCTACCACAAAGACAGAAATATTGGAGGATATTTTGGGTGCAACTTGTCGTGATCAAACTACATCATGTGCATTTGGTTAAAGATGATCAGCAAAGTAAGAATTTCATTGTACAGAGTAACTGTCGAGTTTTCTGTTCATGTGACAATAAACCTCCTGAAACTTGAAAAGCATTTAGTCTGTGCATCTAAAATTTTCCAGAATTTCCAGCAAACCAGAAATGGCTGAGCAGAAATTAATGGGGATAAACTAAAACAAGGCTGCAAGGTGGTGCAGTCGGTAGCACTGTTGCCTCGCAGCAAGAAGGTTGCCGGTTCGCGTCCCGGTGGGGGCACCGGGATCTTTCTGCGTGGAGTCTCCATGTTCTCCCCGTACAGCGTGGGTTCTCTCCGGGTTCTCCGGCTTCCTCCCACAGTCCAGAAACATGCTGAGGTTAATTGGTGATTGTAAATTGTCCGTAGGTGTGAATGTGAGTGTGCTTGGTTGTCTGTCTCTAAGTGTAGCCCTGTGATAGACTGGTTACCTGTCCAGGTGAACCTGCCTTCACCCTGAGTCAGCTGGGATAGGCTCCGCCCCCCACGACTCTTATGAGGATTAAGCGGTGTATAGATAATGGATGGATAAACTAAAACAAGGCTGAGGAAAGCAAACTGTCACATTTAAGAGTCTTGAACTATCATATTTTGTTTAAAAAAATACTGATTAATGACAATACTACACTCAACCACTCAATTAATTGATTAGTCCAGATTTAATGGTGGGAATAATATTTTTGTCGGCCCTTAAGTGATGTAAAATCAGCTTAATTTTCAAGATATTGACGAATATCAGTTCACAGAAAACCCAGATGGCTTTGTTCAGCGGCAGATGAGGCTAAAAAATAGGTGGTTCGGGTTCATAAAAAGAATAAAGGTGGCGGGATGATGCATTCTGAGCAGATTATGGCAGAATTCAGGTCTGTTCCAGCTTTCTAAACTCCACTATCTCGCCCCTCCAGGTCTGAGTAAAGGAGCGGCCGACGTAGGGATGGCTCAGTTCCAGGAAATGATGCGGCAGCAGCTGGAGAGCTCCATGCACGCTGAGCTGGAGAAACTGCTGGACACCACCACCACAGGGGCCGAGAAAGAGGTAAGCTCGCTCCCTGTCTAGCTCCCTCCCTCCCTCCCTCCCTCGCTCTCGGTCTCTCTGACCATCTGGTTGTGATTTAGAGGGTGGTGGGGTCACACTAATGCTGGGAAAACACAAAAGTGACACATACTGTAGCGCCGTGCCAAAGAGGGTTCCACCTACAAGCTCGCAGACGCACACGTACATAAAACATGTCATCAAATTGCAGCCGGCGAGCTTTCTGAGCAGACACTCGCTCATTTTATAGTTTTTAATCATAATACATTGCGTCACCAAAGAGGTCCAGCCCAACTGAGACTCGTCATTGTTGCCCAAAATGAACTCTGGAGTTGGGAGTGGACGCATCTCAGCCCACAGCAAGAAATTATTAAAAATCTAAGATAAACTATCTCCACAATAACACTGCAATGAGTCATTTTTAGTTTCTGAGTTTCCTTTGGCGACCAACAAGCGCAGACCTTGAGAGAAAGCTAGAAACGCTGTGACTGGACTCACGAGCACACAGCGTTTGGCAGCAGCCTCCGTCAGACGTTCGCCGGGCGCTGCTGAATTGCCAGCAGTGACAAAAGATGGAATGAAACGCAGAATAAAGAAGTCAGAAGAGTTGGTCACACTCAGGCGTGATCGATACGTCACAGGCACTTTCAAGTGTGTTCACAGAAAAGGCTTTTGTGCTCGCAGTAAGAGCCAACAGTTATGCATTCAAACAAAAAAATAAAACAACACACATCACATACACAGCTCTGAAACACACACACGGTCTTTGTTCCTGATTGACTGGGTCGGTCGGCAGCGTAAATAAATACAAATGTGGTTGTGCAGACCAGCGACAGGCCACTTGCGTAGCTATTTATTTTACTTACCCTCTAGGAGGAAGAGATTTCTCACACGCGAGCCATTCACATATTTGGCTATCATTTGGTTTTGTTTTTCATCTTCTTGTTTTGTCTAAGCAGAACGCACGCCAAATCAAGATTTTATAAATACATCACAAAGCCGGTTTCTAAAAGCATCTCGATGAATCGGGTCGGGACATCCAGATGTTGTTTTATCTGTGTTTACACATACTTCCTGGTCCTGTTTAAGAATGTAAGTAAAGTACATGTAAACTGACCTCTTCAGATGTAGACGTAATACGGTGCCAGGCTACGATTTCACTGCAACCTCGGGACGATAATTATCATAATAGAAAGTGTTCTGCTGCGTCCGTGTCACTGTGTAATTTTTATAAACACATATTTGACCGTAGTGGCTCTGAAAGTTCTCTGCTCAGCCCATCCAGCCACCTCGCATTCACCTGATTTCTGTGAAAAGATCTGCAATCGGCTGAAGCCACAATGAGCTAGACTTTCTAGATCCTGAAAACAGAGTGGAGAGGAGGGGCAGAAGTCCTCTCTGATCACCTGAATGACACTCGGCTGAAATGTTATTGTTTGGTCTAAAGTTGATGAAGCCCAGTTTGACTAACTTTTTTCCCCGTAGCTTTCCAAATGTCCACATTGAATGCTTTGCTGGGTGTACTCCAAAGATAAAATCGAACTGACACCAAGTTGCTGTTTAAACGGGATCCTTTAGTTCACAAAAAAAAAAAAAAGAAATTTACAGACGGAAAAACAAAAAGCAAACGAGGATACAAAAGTATGAGCAGTCAAAAAAAACTGTTTGGCTCCATGCTATGCCATCATTCGTTTTCCCAGGATCCCTTGCAAATTTAAGGGACCCTAATGTAGCGAACCAAATATCAAAAACAAATCAATAAACCAAAAGACCACACTAACACAGAATTCAAATATGATTAACAACATTTAACCAAATAACAAATAAATTTAGCAAAATAAAAATGTTAATCATAATCAATATCAAAGTTACTCTTGAACAAAAAATCAAAACCAAATAGAAATAATCGTGGTAAAATAAGAACCAAATCCAGAATCATAGAAATAGATTTAGGCTCCTACAGTTATCGTGGAATTTTTGCCTTAACAAGAACAGCAAAAAAAAAAGCTGCCTGCTCGAGCTATACGGCTTCCCTTTATGACCGCTCCATTAAACAGAGAGAAGAGCCGTAAAAAGTACAGTAAAAGAATGTATAATGGTTTCACTTTGCAAGCTTTTCTGCCAGTTTTTTTTTTTGCCCTTGAGTAAAGAAACCTTGGAGATAATTGATGCGATCTGAGAAGCAATTAATCTGGATTTTTTTTTTTTTTGCAGCTTTGCGGATGAGTAAATTATGATTTTTGTTGGGCACATCTGTATTAGTGACTTTGCAGAGCTCAGTTTTATGGTTTTAATGTAAAATCTTTGTATTTTTCAGGTGTCCAGGAAGAATTTTGAGGGCTTCAAGAACCTCTTCCACAGATTTCTGCAGGTGAAGGGGCCGTCGGTGGAGTGGATCAAGATACAGAGACCTCCAGAAGACTCTGTAAGTCCAGTTTATGGGGTGGGGGAGGTTGTTTGTTTGTTTGTTTGTGTGTAGCTGGTTGTGTTGGGGGTTGTTTGCATTGTGTGGTGAAGGAACTATTCGGACTGCGTCGGTTTATTCTGCCAAAGAGGTAAACAGCAGACAGTCAATCCCAGCCCCAATCCCTCAAATAAAAGGACACGGGAATATATACACAACAGGTTAAAGCTAACAAATAAACTGTGGAATGTGATTTATCTGAAAGGTTAAACATGGAAATTTCTGTCACCTCAATGTTGCTCACCTCCCCAATGAAAAGCAGGAGAGGTGAAGCTTTTATCAGTGGATGTAGATGTACAGAAAGTTAAAGCTTCTGCACGTTGACTCTGGAGGTCTAACGTGTTCGGCTATTTACATGAATGTTGTGTAATCATAACAGTACATATCTTTTTATACATATTGCTGCCGTGTAACCGACTCTGTTACATGTACGCTTGTGTTTGTTTACATGCAGCTCGTGTTTCTGCGTCTTACGAGTCGACTATTTTGTTTAGACTATTTTAGTATGCGCAGAGGGATTAAACCAGAAAGCGATGGTAATTAACATCCAGTGGAGAACAGAAATAACTTCTAACCACCGGGTTGCTGTGGTGTAGTGGAGGCGTGCTGCTACAAGCCCAGCTGAGACGATGAAATGAGATCCAGCCAGTCCACTTTGAGTAGCACATCGACGAGTCTGAGAGCTTATCAGATAGCGACGATTGGATCTTTACAACTCTGGAAAGTTATCACGGCGCGAGTCATTTTGTTGCCAGTGATTGCAGGAGGAACAGTGGATGTTGCATTGCAGAAGTTTTGTCGGTTTAAACACCGACGCAATCGTCACATTAAAGCGAAAGCTGCAGGAACGGAGACGTTTGTGACCCAGGCAGTCGTAAAATTAGCTGCACAGCTCCAAGAAATCACAGTTCCCACCACGTCAGACTTCAGCATTGCTCAACAAACGTGGAGGTGTTACGTAAGTCGGTTTGCCTCACTGACCTTTGAATCTCTTGTTTATTGAAAATATTCAGCATTATGATGCCGCTTGAATTCTCTCAGAGGGCTGCAGATGTGGCACGACAGGCGGGTTAAAATTCAAAGTGAGAGCAACCATATGCGGCTTGTCACCTTGAGACAGGAGGGTGTTTTTAATCCCTGCTTCAGATGATCAAACTCCCATCCCAGTACCTGTCAGTCGCCGTGATGAGCTGCCTGTCATGAAACCAGCGTCGAGTTGAAGGTGACGCATCAGAAGCATCAAACACGACGACACCAAACACAATCTGTTGGGTTTGAAAAGCGAAGAGAGGCTCGTCGGTACTTTTCAACAAGTTCTTCCTTCCAGACGCGCATTTTATTTTACTGTCTGTTTTGTGGTTGAGTTTATTGTTTCAGTAATGCTCTTTGTGTCTGTCAGATAAATTCAGCCACAACAGAAATTACTGACAAAGAGCTCAGCAGCAACATCACCGACAACCAGGACAACAAAATGCAGGCGCCTTAAATCACCCAGAGCCGGCCCCTCCGCCCTGATCATAGCAACTTATACTCACCACAGAGCTGGTGTGATGCAGTGTAGAAGATCTACCACTCAAAACTCACAAAGCAGCATCGTACTGTGTTGTTGTCGACCCCCGATCTTACTAGACGTCCTAACAAAGTTATTGAGTTTGTTCTCATTAGTGGAAAACGCCAAGCAATGACGCAGAGAGTAACAATACTTTCCACGTGGTGCACTTTGAGTCAGTGTTTGTTGTTTGAGACAAATGAACGATTAAAAAACCAGCGTCTGTATATCCACTCAAAAGCTTCCACATGAAGTACAACGTCTGTAGTCCTCTCCTGCGCCAAACTATGGAGGCTCCTAAAGAAATAAACATTATGAGTGTGGACAAACGGAGGGTTTTGAGCAAACATGGCACATGTAGTCAAGAATTACAACAAACGAGAGATCTGCCACTTCAAAAAAAAAGGAATATGTATTTATGGGATGGCAATTGTATGACATGTCTCGCTTCTTTCCAGCAAATTGAGTATTTCTACAGACTAAAGTGTGTTGAGAAACTGTATGCATGTGTAGTAGAAGCTTTTTTTAACCTTCTTTTGGGGCAAAAATAATGATAACAGTAACTGCAACAACAGAAGGCGGATCCAGCCAAACAGTAAGAGAAATAAAAGTGGAGAAACGGAGTTAAACCGGGCAGGAGAGGTACAATATTTATCAATAGGACTCCCAATAAAATAATGATTTCAAATTATAGAAAGACAAACAAGTAGAATAATAAATGAAAGTAGAGGGTAAAACCATAAACAAAAAAATAATCACCATTCTCTGTAAACAGTTTTTATCAGATTTGTGTGGTGATGCTGCACATCCTGTTTCCACTGAAAGTTCAGTTATGGCTCTTTGCACATTCACTCTGATGGAGGCCTGATGTGTGCCGTGTGTGAGAACATTCCCACGCAAAGTATGGAATTGATCAACTTGTACTCATACTTAGGAATGTGCGTAAACAGACGCACAACTCTGACCATGTGTACGCACATAATCTAGCGGTTGAATAGTGAAACTACAAAGAGAAAGCGTTTTGACCAGCGGCACCGCGTTTCCCAGCCACCACTGAGCAGGATCAAGCCGGCAGTGCTGGATGCCAAAGCTCCCCGGGCCCCAGCCTACATCCAGCTCCCCTACAGCCGTCACCAACGAGCCCAAATCAAACGCTGGATTCCCAAACACAATTGGAGCCACAGGCTGCACCCACATCGCGTTCAAAGCAGCATCACGAAACGAATGTAACCATGTTGATAGAAAAAGGTTTCATTCAGTCAACATACAAATAATTGGCGATGCACATTTGTGTCGATCCAACATTGTTGCCCGGTGGCCTGGAGGAACGCACCACTCATTTATTGAGCAGAACAGGTTTGTGCGTCTCCAAGCAGGAGCTGCTGAAGACGGCTGGCTTGAGTGGAAATGTTTTAGCTGGACGTTGTTTGGTTATTAAAACATCTCATCTGCAGGTGATCGGAGTTCTCCGCTGGGTGAACGTTGGGTATTAATTTGTCTTTCTCTAGTTGCATCATTTCTTTTGTATGGGCTGTGGATGCGTTTTTTTGGCACCGAGCTCAACGTCAAACCACTTTTTAAACATTTTGCCGGCGATCTCTTCTGACCCAACAGAAATAACTGCGCTGGTTATCTCGTCTCATGCAGCATTTTACCTTCTGCTGCTTATCCCAACATTTAATGCACCAAATAATATTTTCTGGTTTGCTTCAACCTCGCTTCCTCGATTTTAGTGTCAGAAAAGTTCCTCTTTTTCGCCCTTTTTGCCACGATGATGAAACTAAATCTTCACTTGCTCTGTGGGGAGCCGTGTTGTTGCTGTATGTGGTTAATTGGAGGCGTTTCTGATAAACACAGATTTTTTGGCGTTTACGCACACTCCAAGTTTCTTTCGTCAGACAGAATTGAGAACCTTTTTTACGCCCTGATGGTAAATGAGGAGTGGCAGGACTAATCATGTCTAATTAATTATAAAATAATCACGGTCTAATTATGATTGTAAAACTAAATGTACACCCTGTTCAAACTGGAAATACAACTTACACCAAAACGGTATTTCCCACCAGGAAGTAGGCGCCAAAGTTTCTGTTAATGGAAAATTCCTCTCGTGACCTTTTACACTGAAAATGTGCCTCAAGGATAAGATTTTATACTGAAATCAACAATGCGATAAGGCCTCATAGTTTATATCTGCTGCCGCTCTCTGTGTATACTTAGAGTCTGAACTATAGACATTCCTGACTGACGTCTCTCAATAGAGGGAGTTGTCTCTAATAGTTATTTGCTGTTTTAAATAAACTTCATGAATGAGGGAGGTTTTGGCAGAGGACAGTTTGTTTATCATGTCTCCTGTGTCAAACAAATGTCACCCTCTCTTCTGCATCATGTGACCTTGGAGCCGAGCCACTGTCAACCGAAACAGCATGAACGCAATCATTTAATCATCTAAAATATGTCGTGGATCTCCTTCTGTCACTCGGAACCTTTACAAAATATTCACTTCTCGGTTTGTAGGAATCAAAACAAAGACGAACCAACGGCCTGCTTGGGCGTCATGTGGCTGTTATTCTTCAGATGGCAAAGAGTTCAAAGTACCCGTCTGCCCCTTGTTCCTCCTAAAGGTTCCTGATTGGTTTCACACGGGGCATCCGATGGGTGTGATTCTGAAATACTGCTGCTGCATCACTACAAATGGAAACACCCAATTATCTGAGCCACTTGTCTGTATCAGGAACGTTCCCTCCTTTTACAATAAATGTGCCCGTCTCTGCCTTCTCCAGAGCTAACCTTAGACGATAATACATTTCCTTTATTGGCCCTTAAGAATCTGCAGGTCAAGATGATCTCCTCCTCTTTTATCTTGACTCCTCTGCACACGGCACATGTTTGCATGTATAATTTCTACCTGACTCTCACGTCGGTGCTTCATGGAATACAAAACAGACCCAGTATTGATTAGCTGAACTGCACAGTTTCCTGCAGCAAATGTTGAATGTAGTGGAGTTGGTCAGCGATAGGGATGGTAATTGATTAATAACCGCTAATAATTTTAGACAGATGTGTTGTAGATTAGGGCTGCAGGGTGGCGCAGTTGGTAGCACTGTTGCCTCGCAGCAAGAAGGTTGCCGGTTCGCGTCCCGGTGGGGGCACCGGAATCTTCCTGCGTGGAGTCTCCATGTTCTCCCCGTGCAGCGTGGGTTCTCTCCGGGTTCTCCGGCTTCCTCCCACACAGTCCAAAAACATGCTGAGGTTAATTGGTGATTGTAAATTGTCCGTAGGTGTGAATGTGAGTGTGCTTGGTTGTCTGTCTCTAAGTGTAGCCCTGTGATAGACTGGTTACCTGTCCAGGTGAACCTGCCTTCACCCTAAGTCAGCTGGAATAGACTCCAGCCCCCCATGACCCCAATGAGGA